TTTTTTTTTTTTTTGGCGGGGGAGGGGTTTACACAAACACACTCAGGAATATACAATAATTTAAACAACGAAAGGGCACATTCTGTAATCCTGCCTCCTGGCCACCAGCACCCAGACCCTCTCTTTCCATAAGTCCAGAGTCCTCAGCTGCTCCCTCTCTCCACATTCTCATCTCTGCTGTTGCTGCTTTTCTGGATAGGGTCCCACGTTCCGCTTGTGTTCTTCTCCCTCGATGGTCCTAGGTTTCTGTTTCTAGATTAACTACTCCTCGTTTTTGTTACAAAACTTCTACCTTTACAGTTGTGACAGTTGCAATTAGTTATGATAACAGTTACTCACTATTGAATCATAAGAATCTTACCATCCCTATCTCTTTTCATCAGACCCATCTAGACAAGATGAAAACTATTCAGTGGGGACTCTTTCTTTCCCCCCACTCTTAAACTAAACTCCCTCTTGAAACCTCATTTTAGGTAGCCAATGTCTAAGTTACCCATCCCTATGGACAGTAGGAACAGGATTGATACTTGACGTGAAGACTCATTCCCTCTCAGTTGGTATTTTGAGCAACTACATCCATTAAATATAGGTCAAGTTCCTCAAATTATAGCAATTTACATCTGTTTCCTTTACCAAAAAATTTTTAAAAAAAATTTTTAAATCTTCCTCTAGCCGAGTTCTGATTACAAGCCATCGAGGCTAGGTCAAATGGGTATTATCTGCAAGTTTGGGTGTTCTTATGCACCTCCCCTCACTTTCTATCAGCTGGATGCTTCACTCTCAGCTCTAGCCCTCTGTGGCTATGTCCTTGTCCATGGGCTCAGGAGTCCCCAGGAGTCACTACACTTCGGACCAACTAGCCCTTCCTCTTCTCTTTCATCTCCAGGTCAACGAGGGTCTATGGAATGTGGTTGAATTCATCCCATTTCTTCATTGCTGCCTTTCCCCCTCTTCAACTCACCAGTAGACCAATGTGGTCACCAGCAAGCTTACATACCTGCTCATGTGTTTCAGTTTTGGAGGGAGACTGAAGGGACTTGATTTCTTGCCTTGATGGCTCCTCTTTCCTGTATTTTTACTGACCTTTTGGTTTCTTACTGTATGATGTTCTTGATCTTGAAATCTTGCTCAAGAACATCAGAAATGTGAGGCACAATGAAATGAACTAACAGCTGCCTAACACAAAGATAAGGAGGAAGAAAGGGAAACATTCTTTCAAGTACTTAGGGAAATAATGACTGAAAACTTCCCACATCTGGTGAAAAACTAATCTTCACATCCAAGAAGTTCAAAATCTTTAAGTAGGATAAATGCATGGCAATCCACAATGAGTTACTTCACTTGTAAGAAAAGACGAGGAGGATTTTGAAAGCAGCAATAGAATAACCAATCACAAGGGAACCCCAATAAGGTTACAGCTGACTTCTCTTCAGAAACTACAGAGGCAGAAGGCAGTAGGAGAACAACTTCAAAGTGCTTAAAGAGAAAACTCAACCCAAATTCCGAAACCCAGAAAAACAGGTACATTTAAAAACTGAAGGCAAAACAAAGGCAGTCACAGATAAACAGAATTGTTCGGCAACTTGCTTTAAAAGAAATACTAAGAGAAGTTCTTTAAGGAGCTCTGGTAGCACAGTGGTTATGAACCGGTTTGTGAACCTCAAGGTGAGCAGTTCGAAACTACCAGCTGTTCCGTGGGAGAAAGATGAGGCTTTCTGCTCCCATAAAGATTTGCAGCCTCGGAAACACTGTACCGGGTCGCTATGAGTCAGTTCTGACTCCACGGCACATAACCAACTAAGAGAAGTTCTTTAGACTGAAACCAGTCGCTACAGACAGTAATACAAACCTACATACACACTATCACCACTACCGTGTCATTACATATGGAAGCAGACTGTCAGTGCTTTCTCTCACGGATAGCTACTGGGTTCAAACTGCCAACCTTTCAGATTTAGCCGTCAAGAACCTAACCCCTGAACTGCTACGGTTCCTTTGACTATACAGATAGACATCACCACCTTCCTCTTTGTTCCCTACAGATATTTCTTAATTTCTCTCTACATGTTATTTTTGCTTTCTGCATGCTGATAGCAAGTTAAAAATACATTGTTTTTCAATAATCAAAAGTCTACATGTAGCACAATGTTAGAACAACAGGGCTCTGGGATACAGGGATTGAGACACGGTTGAAATAGGGAAAAGCGGGGGAAATAATGTTAAGATGTTTGGCTGTCTTTTGAATTTTGGTTTCCCTGGCATACCAGTCATTATAAAATAGACGCTTGAGGGGGAAAGAAAGGAATAGCCAGAAACATCACCGTAGAAAGCTTGTAAGTCTGTCTTCTGCTTATAACTGATTGGAATAGTTAAAATGGGGCTACAACGTGCCCAGAGAAGGAAACTTCCTGCAGAGCCTCTGCATTACATAAGACTATAGGTGGAATCCTGAACCCCATCCAGAATCTTCTGAGGTGGGAAATTTCCACTGGAAAGGACAAGCAGACCAGCCTGGATCAGTAAGAAGAACAGAAGACACTTCTTGAAAGAAAGACCTACGGGAAAAATACAAAACAATACAGGCAGTCCGACTGATTACTACAAGAACAAACAAGCTGCTTGCCCAGGAGACATTAAGGCAAGTGGTTGGGTCCCCTCAGGGCAAACCCACTTCCAAGACTAAGACTCAATGGGAATACACGCTCTGACTGGGGACCCTGTTAGTCACTGATAAGGGGAAGTGAGGGAAAAACAGCAATGAAGCTGCGAGCTAAGCTCTACAACATTCAATAGACTCCTGTGAACCCAGGTGGAGACCTGGTTGGCCAGCAGTGTGGCAAGACCTGGAGACTCTTGGGCCCAGAGTCAATGACTTAGCCACAGAGGACTAGAGTGGAGAGTGAAGCGTCCAGATGATAAGAGGAGAGGGCATATGCACAAGAACACCCACACTTGCAGATAATACCCACTTGACCTGGCTTCAAGGACTGGGTGATCAGAGCTCCACTAGAAGAAGAAAGTAGAGGAAAAAAAGAGTAATCTGATACAATTTGATGAACTTGATCTACAGCTATGGATGCAGTAGCTCAAAAGAGGGAACAAATCTTCACAGCAAGGATCATTCCTACCCCATCTATACACAGTGTAGACAGGGATGGGCAACTTGGACACTGGCTACCCAAATTGGGGGGGTGGTTCAAAGGCAAAAAGTGACTGGCTTATAAGCTTTAAAGAGGGAACCTAGATCTAGAGGGCATGGAGGAAGGTAGAATCTCTACGGAGTAGTATCCAATTTGTCTAGGAGGGGCAGATGAAAGGAAATGTGGATAGATCCCTTGTGATACAATAGTGAATAATTATTATCAGGACTGATTGTGAGGGTTGGAAATGTAAAGGTAGACTTTTGTAGCAAGGAGAGGAGTGATTAATTTTGCAGTCTAGGAGCAGAGGTCCCTGGGATCATCAAGGGAGAAGAGCGGAAAGCGGGACCCTACCCAGAGAAGCAGTGATGCCTGAGATAGAGGCAGAGACGATGATGTGGCGAGATGGAGCAGCTGGGGACTTCAGACCTAGAGAGGGAGAGGGGCTGTGTGCTGACGATCAGGGGGGCAGGATTGCAAGGTATACCCTTTGGTTGGTTGATGATGCATGGAGGGGATTGTAACCATGGCAATGAAACGAATGTAAAGCTAATGTTCTCTCATGAAAACTATCACATACTTCACAATAAAACATTAAAAAAAAAGTCTGTATGTAGTCCTGGTGTGGAGCTGTAGGACACACTGGACTGGTAACCACAGGTTGGTGGTTCAAATCTTCCAGTCACTCCTTGGAAACCCTATACAGAATCACTATGAGTCGAACCAACTTGATGGCACTTACAACAATGTAAAATAAACTTAAAAAAGTTATTTTTCTTTTCCTCTCTTTTTTTGACTGATTTAAAAAGCAACATGAGCTGTATTGTTTGCTTTATAATATATATATATATATATATATATATATATATATATATATATATACACACACACACACACACACACACACACACAATATACATTTATGACAATATAAATTTATAATATAATACATGGGAAAGCAATTTCAGTCTCCTGCTTACACACTTCCACAGCTCTTTTCTCCATTCCAAGGTGGGGGCGTGGCTCTTTTCTGGGTTATACACACATCTCCCTCCACAGGAGATTCAGGTCTCTAGTTCCATATGAAGTCTACTCCTGTTCCCACCCAGCCCACTAAATCTCTGCTGCCTACAGGAGCAAGTTACTAGCAACTCCAACCCACACACAAGACCCTCTGAAGTCCAACCCCTCCTTTACCACTTTATACATCTGTCTATTACCTTAACTCATCTCATCATTGACCTCTATGCACCTGGAGGGCCTCACATCTCATGCCCTAACGGTCCTTAAACCAGGTTCAATTCCTGGCCTTTGCACTACCTGTCTATCAGTGGAAACTTGCATGTTGTATGAAGCTGAACAAGTTTCAGAACTTCTAGACTAAGATGGACTAAGTAAAAAAGCCCAGAAATCTACTTAAAAAAACCAACCCAAGAATACCTATAGATCACAATGGTCCAATCCCTAACCAATCACGGGGATGGTACTGACTGCACCAGGTTAGGAAAGGCCCTCTTTGTACCCCAATACCCATCCAACTGCATCTCCTCTAGGGCAGGCAGAAGCCACTCCTGGAAACCCTCACTCACCCTGCGGTTCCGGTTGTGATCCATGGTCTTGAGGTGCTTCTGGATGACTCCAAATTGCATAGGAATGAAGAGGTCACAAGCCGCACAGTGAGCCGCTTCCACCTTCCTCACAAAATGCTCCATAGCAATTTCTGTGGGGGAAGAAAAAGGGAGTCTTCTCTGGCCCCAGGTGCCTGTGAGAGAGCCAGGAAATTGGGCAAAACCAGATCAACTCCTCAGTCCCTCACTCTATTGCTTTTGAGGGGCCTGCGGTGGTTCCCACTGACTGCCCTGTCCCTGGAGAACAGAAGACAGGCCTGGTCATGTCTTGAGTACTAAACGAGACCCAGTCTGACAGGTGTGAGCACAACCTTCTCACCTTGGGTCAAATCCTGGTCTCTGTAGATCTGCTGGATAAGACCATCAAGGTCTTCCACAGTTTTCCGGAGCTCCTCTGTCTTCTTGGTCTTGTTGGTGACGTATTCCTGTCAGAGACACCAAGGTTTGTGGGGACTGCATTGCACCTCAAGGTCCAAGAGAGTTAAGAGCAGTCTTGTTAACTCTGGATTCACCTGCAGGAAGTCAGCTGTCTGCTTTGGGAGCTTGGTGCCGACAAACTTAAAGTGCTCCTTGTGGAATTTGCTGTCTAGATGGCTGTCCATCTCATCCTCATAGAAGGTCCGGTATTTGCAGAGAGAGCATACAAACTGGATCCTGCCACAGGGGGGAGAACAGGGGTGCTGACGCTGTGCAAGCCCCAGGGAGTGGTGCGCCGCCTCACCCAACCCAGCTGCGGGCTCTGAGACAGGCCCTGCTCGTGGGCCTCTTGAGATGTAGCCCCGCAGGGGGGGGGGGGCAGGCTGGGGCTGGGGCTGGGGCGTAGAAAGGGATGGAAGGTCTGCAGTTACTGTAAGGCGGGGCCAGGGGAGGAGTTCTTCCTTCCCACAGAAGGCTGGGCCCAAGGCAGCAGCTGCTGCAATAGACAGTGAGTCGATGAATGGCTGCAGAGGGCATCATTGCCCTGGCGGGGCCCAGAAGGCAGGCTGCCACCACTCAAGCCAGGTGGCCCCGAGGTACGGAGTGAAGTGCGCAGTCCTGAGGCAGGGCCTGATAAGGTGCTGCAGCTTCCTTCGGGGGCCTGGGGGACCCAGAGGCCCAGCCCAGCCCATCCTCTGCTCAGAATGCTTGGGGATGGTGTCGGGAGGGATGGGAGGGAAGCAGGCCTGGGCCCGGCCGCCTTGTCTTCCTCTTCTGAGAAGAGACCAGTCTGAGCTGGAGGAGGGCGCCCGCCCGGCCTGCCAGAGGGCAGCCTGGAGTCACCCGGGCGAGGTGCTCTGTCTGGGCCTGGTGTCCACAGCAGAAGCCTGGGGTCTAGGGCCTGGGCTGGAGTAGGCCGCCGTGGCAAGGGGCGGCGGAGGCCAGCTGCCACCGAGGCCTCGGGGCAGGTCCCTACCTCTGCCGGACGTCCTTATCTGGGCCACACGGGGTCAGCTTTGTCTGGAGAGCCCAGGGGCCGGGCGCCGGCGAGGCTCAGGAAGGTCCAGCAAGAGCAAGAGTCTGAGGCGGAGGAGGAGGAGGCAAGCGCCAGTGCGGGAGCCCTGAGGGCAGACAGACCCGACCAAGGGCGTGAAGGACTCAGCCACAGACAGCCTGGCCAGGCGGGGCCGGCGGGCAGGGCACAGGGCAGGCCTCTGGCTGCCACGGCCCACAGGGGCTGCCGTCTCTCCTGGGCGCAGCGGCGGCCTCCTGGCAGCTAGCTGGGCGGCACGGGAGCCTTGGGCCTTGAGTCTCTGATGAGCTGGCCCCCTCCCTCAGGGGCATCGGGCCCCAGTGCACTTTGGGGCTCGTGCGCCGGAGCTTCTGGGCAACGGTGCCGAGCAGTGGCGGGTCTTGGGTCAAGGACTCCAGCGGTCGCCAGGCGGCCGCAGAGGGGCAGGGGATGAGCCAGACCTTGGGAGCTGGGCCTGGCGGGAAGCAGGGGCCATGCATGGCCGAGCAGGTGTGGCTCCCCAGGGAGCCAGGGCGTGGCGCGGCGGCAGAGCTACAGCTGCTCTCCTGGCGCGGCCTGCAGTGGGTGGAGGCGGGGAGCTGGTTACCTTTCCACCATGCGGTCTCGCTGTCGCTTCTTCTGCTTGTCCTGGCTTTTCTTGCCCGCCTGCAGCTTGCGCTTGGCTAGGCTGCTTTCATCCTGGGTGGTCAGGGCCCCTGTGGGAGCAAAGGAAGCCATCACCACTGGACTGAGCAGGCCCTAGGACCTGAGTCCCACCATCTGCTCAGAGCACCAGTTCAAGTCAGGCTTCTGACCACGAGGTGGCTGGGGGTTTAGTCCAGGTGAGGAGTGGGTTTATGGACAAGGTTGAGGATGCGGATACATGCAGAGCCTACTATTTACTTTCCAGGGTACTCCCACTCCCTGTAGAGTGAGCCACAGGCAGGTTGGAAGCAAGAGAGGCTATACTGGTGTGAACAGTGGCCAAATTTAAGGGTCCGACGATAGGGTATGAGGAGTCCTGGTGTGGTGCTGTGGGTTAATGCGTTAGTGCAAAGTCAGTTTGAACTGCAAGGTTGGCAGTTCAAGCTCATCAGTTGTTCCTTAGACACCCTCTAAAGGGTCGTTATGGGTTGGAACGGACTCGACAAGCACTTAACAACACCAACATGAGAGGATACTGGGAGGCTGTAATTGGGGCCCAGACCCCAGGGCTCACAGTGCCCCACCTACCGCCAACAAAGACTATCAAGTAGTCTCAGGTGATGGGTTCATATGGAGGAGTCCATGGGGGCCTGGGGCCAGTGCATGCCCAGAGGCAACAACTAGTGTGCTAGGTAGGGGCAAGGCTTTCCAGGGATTCTCCTGGGAAGGGGGTGCGGATAGGGAGAAGATAGGGAAGAAGAGGAGCCGTGGTCCCTGCCAGCACACAGCAGCCCCACAGGCAGAGCCCCAGCCAATCTGTTTCTAGCCCAGCCCCAGGCTGGAACCACCCTTCCCCCGATGAGCACCCAGAGGAGCAGCAGATTACTCACCAGACTCACCTGAATCCTCTTTGCTGTCATCCTTTCCCTCCTCCTTCCCTTCCTCATCCTCTCCTTCCTAGTACACAATTTCAGAAGACAAGTGTAAAATGCCTATGGTCACTCCTATTGATTCTAAATGAGTAACCCTGTGTTGGGCCAGGAACTAGCCAGTGTCCAACCTTGCAGGGACAGCTTGCCCCCATTCTTTTATAAGGATACGGTGGTTCTGGCTAGTGACCATTTCTCCAAATCCTGGTCAGCCTGCCCAGAGGCCCAGGCTAGCCCACCCACATTCGTAGACAGAAAAGCCAGGGGCCGAGGTACTCACCACTCTGGAGCTCTTCTCCACAGCCTCGGAAGCCTCGGCTGTCTCGGTGGCCTCACCCTCAGTGCCATCATCTGGAAGAGGAGAGCAGATGAGTGTGGACCAGAGCCGGTGGATCAGGTGGCACTGCAGTAGCCAGCCTGCTGGCTCACCATTGTCAGAATCACTGTTGTCAGAGCCGTCTGTCCTGGAGGCCTTGCTGTCGGGCTCATCAGGGCTGCCTAGCTGCTTCCTCTTTTTCTTCTTGGTCTGTGTTGGGAAAAGGGCACCAGTCAGTGGGGAGGCTCTGGCTGTCCCTAGTGCCCCCAACCCAGGGTGTCAGAGCTGGGTGGGGCAAGGGTGGCCCTGCTCACCCGAAAGTCAGCTGGAGTCCAGGTCTTCCAGGTGCGACGCATCTGCTTCACACCGTTGCCAAAACCGAAGCCAAAGCGGGAGCCGACAGGGAAGGAGCTGCCTGGGAAGGCGCCCCCACCACGTGCACCCTGGAACATGCTATACTCGGGGAGAATGTTCTGCGAGAAGAGGGAGGGCAGTCGGGGGGCTCCTGGCATGCACTGGCCCCGGACCCCCATGGGCTCTTCCCACATGCGTCCATAGCCTGAGGCCATCGGGCGGCCGCTTCGGGCATCACGGGCCCAGCCCTGTGCCCGAGGACCAAAGGCGGCGCCGCCACCACGCATGCGGAACTGGTCTCGGTAGGCGTCATACTGGCCCTCATAGGCCATCTCCATGTCAGGGTCAAGCTCGCTGTAGTCATAGCCTGGGCGGTAGAGGGCGCGCTCGCTCAGCATGGCCCTTGAGTCACAGGTCTCATAGGAGTCATACCTGCAGAGTTACATGGTCAGTATATCAGGGCAGCCCTTGAACCAGCTGACTGCTGCTACCTGAGCAAAACCCACTCCAGCCCCGACCCCACTGCAGTGCCACATTCAAAAATGCCCATCTGGACACAGAGCTCTAGAAGCAGAAAGAACTCTGCTGCCTTAAGTTTGAATGTAGCCAGCTCAGGAGCCATGAGGAAGGACTGCTGACCAGTGCAGGGGCCCAAGCCGCTGCTACCTTATTGCCCTCTGGACACAATGCTGAGAGCAGCTTCTGATCCTTTGGGGAGACGAGCAAAACCCCTGAATATAATGAGTCAAGTGGGCCATCCAGCATGATGAAGATGGATCCACTGAGACTCAGGGTGCCCATGAGAAACACTGCCCTCGGGATGGGGAGCATGCCCCTAGGAAGACTCCGCAGGCCTGCCAGTGACTAGAAATGAATCAGATCCTACTGACCTTGGAGTCAGGGGCAGAACATTATACCCACACACAGCCACAGGGAGCCCAGGCAAACGTCCCACCCAGGAGGGGCACGTCACCTGAGCTGCAGCCCATTCCACCCCAGGCACTGAGAGACTTTGGGGCTAACTCCTCACGGAAATGTTTCCACCTGACAGCTGGGAAGCCAGGAAGGACCGGGCACAGCAGCTCCAGGGAAAGCTCCAGCCCTGCTCACCCTCATACGTACTCTGGAGTGCCGGCCGCACACCTCAGCCTCTCAGTCAGGCAGAGCTCAGGCGCCACTGAGCCACTAGGCCAACCCACCCTGCCTTTGGTGCCTCAGCTCCATGCGCGCAGCTCACAGGGCGGGTGCTGCAGAGCCCCTGCAAGTCAGCAGTGGCCCTGGAGGCCACACTTGGCCTCTCCTCACTCCGCTCTCTCCATCTGTCAGCCAGAGCCCATTTCCCCCACTCCATGGGGGATATATGTGTATCTTCCTCTCCAAAGACCCTTGTTGGGAGCCACAGCACCGCTGAGACGCCAGTACCTAACAGGGACCTGCAACGACCTGCAGCCAGGTGGACCGAGCACAAGCCCTAAGACCCCCATACTCGCCGCTGTCCTCGTCTGCACAGCAGGGACCACAGTGCCCCTTAGGTGCCTACGTGCATCCAGAAAGTGCCCACCCTGACACCAGAGGAGGCAAGGCCTTGAGGGTGGCTCCTGCTGCTGCTTCCTGAGACACTTCCCCAGCCGCATGTGAGGAGACTGGAGCTCCCCCCCACCCCCGGCACAGCAAGACCTGGGAGGTTCAGAGAGGGGCTCTTTCCTGACCAAGCAGGAGGAGACAGGTTAGGGGTGGGGGAGCAGCAGGCCTGCTCAGAGAGGAGGCACCATGGGAGGGAGGGAGGTGGTCCCGCCAGGAGCCCCACTCACCTTTCTCCTCCTGAGCTGTACATGCCTCCTTGCATCATGTCTGTCTCCACGTGTGACACGTCTAAGCGCTGGTTAATTTTGGATAAAACGGAATCGGCGCTGGTGCTCCCTGTGGCACTAGCATTTGCATTTGCATCAGAGCAAGGCATTTCCCATGAGTTTGAAGTGGCCATACCATACCCATAGCTGCTGGCGTTCTCCTGGCCATAGCCACAGCCATAGCCATAGTTCTCGTAGCCTGCAATGGGGAGACAGACAAAGGGACACACACACAGATAGGGACATCTTCTGTCACAGAGATAAGCTGGGAACCCTCGTCACCCATGTCTGGGTAGGCCCTAGCCATTCCAATGAGGACCTGCTGCAAGAGAGCAGTCAGTCCCAGGGACACATGGGGCAGTGGATGGGCAGATACACACAGAGTCATAGACACACAGACTAAACTGGGCAGTGACAGAGAAAAGATGAGGGAGCACAGGAATAGAACTTGCCTCTGTTTGTCCCAGAGTTCCATGTTCCATATCCTGTAAAAAGCAAAAGGGCAATTAGGCTGACGAAACGCTCACGACAGGAGAGTGTAATGCAGGCACAGACAAGGATAAGGATGCTTACTCCCAATCCCTGACTGGCCTCAGGAGACAAAACCACCCACCCCAAGTGAGGAACCCTGAACTTGAGACACCACAGGTGACTGAGT